TTTTTAAATAACATGTTCCAAATGTTTTCCTCAAACCCTCTTCATGTGAAGTGTCTCAGTCACTGGACATTTATGTGTATCTTTTCTCCTTTTCTAACCAATAAGATTCTTAAGGGCAGAGATGGTTAACTACTGCACCCTGTATCCCCTACAGTCTCCAACACAAACCAAGGGAACCACTCAATGAAGAATAGTTCTTGAATATCTGGGCATCAGTGTTTTTCAGGCATTTCATACATTCTGTGTCCCCAATGATAAGATTTTTCAAAAATCATCTATTTTTTCCTACCAAAAGTCAAATAATGTTCTACCCTTAATGAATACTTGATCAAGTAAGAACTTACTAACTATCCAAAATAGTGATTATTCTCATCCATCCAATATCTACTAATTGATATGTGCCAACCTTGTTTAAAAAAACAAACCCTTCAACATAACAAGAATCCTTACCTACTGACCATTAACATTACACAAAATCAATGCAAGTATAAAAGCTATTATCCTTTAGCACTACTGCAAACAAAGTTTAGCTCCAGTTATAAAACAAACTCAGAAAATAGAAACAAACATCACAGATTATATATATGCACACTATAGGCAGCAGTAACACAACATAAAAGTGTAAAAACTATTTTTTAGAAACATGAGATAAAAGTTTATGACCAACTGATTCACGCTACAACATGGTGAACCTTAAAATATTATGCTAAGTGGAATAAATCATTAACGGAAGACCAAATATTATATGATTCAATTTATATGAAATATCCAGAATAGGCAAATTCATAGAGACAGAAAGTAGATTAATGGCTTCAGGGCCTAAGGGGGGAAGAGGAAATGAGGAGTGACTGTTAATAGCTTTTTGGAGTGATAACAATGTTCTGGAATTAAATACTGGTAATGGTTACACAACTTTGTGAATATACTAAAAACTACACTTAAAAAGAGTGAATTTTACGTTATACAAATTATCTCAATTTTTAAAAGTTTATGACCATTTGGGCTATTATAACTCAAAACTATTTTTTAATAGGAATCTTATTTTGTAGTTTGTTTTCTCAAACTGATCTAAAGTAGCTGTTATACTAGTTAACTGGTTCTCTACTAGCCCCCTTTTAAAATCAGAGCTTTAGAGTTTTGTCAATGAAAACTACCAACTTGCCAATATTTATCAATATATTTTTCATCAGAATACAGAACTCTGGCTTCCTAAAAAACAAACTGGAGTCCTAAAAATACCAGGCAATCTGCACAGCAACAGTGGCCCAGAGCTGAGCAGCAACTAACACACCTGGTCCTATTTGCCATGATCTCCACTACTTCTTACTGTCTTTCAGATAAAGCCTCAAGTCACTTGCCATTTAGTTTCCCAGTTGTATGTTATCCCTGATCTAAACAAAGACCACCTACCTTTCCTATTAGGGTATACTATGAATCACTACTGATAAATATAATCATGAAATTGGTCAAAAGGTACAAATTTCCAGCTATAAGACAAATAAGTTCTGGAGGTCTAATGTATAGCATAGTGACATACTGTCATATGTCATACAGTATGTAATATTACATACTGTAATATATATTTAAATGTTATCTCCACACACAAAGAAAGTGGTAATTGTGTGAGGGAACAGAGGTGTTAACTAGCCTTATTGTGGTAATCATTTCACAATATATACAAATATCAAATGATCATGTTGTACACCTTAAACTTACATGCCAATATCTCAATAAGGCTGGAAAATAAAATTTAAAAAATGTTATGCAAAGACAAAAATCTTGAAAGTGACACCTGTTAAATACAACCCTATAAGTTTTACAAATTCATGCTATATAAACAGTTAAATGAGAAAAAAATCTAGGGAAAAGTTTATGTTTCTACTACAAACAGAAAACACTTTCCATTTCATTTACAATTAAAAATTACTTTCACTTACTGACAGAAAATAGTACAGTAACTTCTTATCCCCATATTAGGTGTTGGCACAAAATGAGGGACACTGTTTTATTCAGATTATTGATTGGATACGAAAACAAACTGCTTGACTCTGATTTTATGTTTAAGCCATCTAGAACACCCCCCATGCTTATGTGCACAAAGGAAAACAACTCCTACGAATTTATAGCTTCTGTGTATTAGACCATATTTATAAAGCTAGAAGAAAACACAACACAAGGTGAATATGGAAATAACATAGAAATGTAGATTCTACTACTTCCTATCTCAAGTATAATGAGGATCGAGCTAAATGCTGTGTCAAGTACTTTCCAGTTTTATTTCTGTGTACTTCTCCAGATCTCCTCTCCTCCAAAGAAAATAACTGCTACTCCTATAGATGGGAAACAGTACTTGTATTCCAATTTATTTTTACCATCATATCTAAAGCTAATAAAATATCAACATATAAGATGAGTTCTGAAAGCTATTCCCCTTAGACAAAAAACAAACTCACTTCTCAAAGTCTTTCAAAAGAGAGACCAGATGAGCCAATTACTTAATAGTCAGAGGTAAACCTCAATGTTCGACCCCCTTTGAGCCATGCCACGTCATTAACTTGTCCAAGTATCCTCAAGTTTACAGGTGACATTTCACACATCACTACAACTGAGTATTAACAGGCACTATATAAAACTGGAGTAGCATCACAATTGCTTCATTATTGCAATTCCTAAACACACAAATGCAAAGGGTATAACTGGACTTTATGTCTGCCTGAAAACACAATCCAGTTTAGTTTCAACCTGATGGTGAATAAAATGGGATGCTCTCCTCAAAGCTCACCAAATTTCTAATGTATGCAACGATTCAAACTTTTTCAAAAGTGTTAAGACTAGGAACAAAACAAAAATAAAGTATTACCTCAACTATAACTTATGGAAGCACAAAGTGCCATTACGATTGATAAAGATTAGTGGAGAACATGATCTTGAGTTTCACACCATCAAGAGTATAAGGTGAGCTAACTGTACAGGAATTAGCAGGAATTGGTTTATGCTTTAACGGTGGTTTATCTTTTATTCTTTAACAGTGCTGTCCCATAGGACTTTCTGATGATATAATTCCTTATCTGTGCTGTCCAACACATGATCCATTGTCACATGTGGCTACTGAGGACTTGAAATGTGGCTAGAACTGAGGAACTCAATTTTTTATTTTAATTAATTTAAATTGCCACATGTGGCTAGTGGCTATCATATTGGACAATGCAGTTGCATAATTTGAAATACAATGTATAAACTTGACTAAACAGTAGAGTTTTTCAAAGTACCATGCATGTCCTGATGATGTTAAAGTAAAAACCTTCCACCTGAGTTCAGTCATCAGCCTAGGCATAAAATAGAATTCACTTATGACTGCCTACATATAAAATAAGACTCACTATGAAATAAGAATTCACGATCCTACTTAGATTCCGAATTTAAGGTACAATATTCACAAACAGACAATATTAAAAAAAAAACACACATCTAAAGTTTTCCCCATTGTTTTCACAACAAGGGTAAAAACTTTCGGAATCGTTTCCCAATGCATGCAAGTTACTTTCCCTTCATATCTGTTCAATAGCTTCTGTTCAGAAAAACAAATGGTAAAAACAAATGTTCAGCACGAATAAGTCATTAAATTGCGACTCGTTAAATTTCACGTTAATTTCCTTTTTTCCTTAAAGGAGAGCTATGCCTGGAAACTGCCGCATGGCCTGGAAGCCTTGTTACCCATCTTTCCGTGTTTGCAGGTGCACAAACCATCCTGATACAGTTACAATTGCGTTGCTAGACACAAAGTATTTTTTCAGTCCGAGAGAGTCACTCCTCTTTTCGGCACTTCTGACATTCTTGGACCGGCTCTTCCCAAGTCAAGAAAAGTAACCAAGATGGTGCACAAGATGTCAAAAGAAAAGCCTGGCAACTTGCACCCTGAATAAGCAAAAAACCAACCGCCTCTGACCCGGAGGGAGTGAGCCTCGCACTATCCGGCGAGGCAAACCGGCGAGCAAGGTCGTGACCCCG